ACTAAAACTTTTCTTCTTTTAACACAAGGTTTAGGCAAGAAGGGGAAGTAAGATTTTGTCAGCTTTTTAGAGTGAGGTAGGAAATCCATGGGTTTGTTTTTCCTGGTTATTTGCTTGCCTGTTGAAATTATTTAGAAGAAGTTGTCAGTCTTTTCCTCCTTGGAAGCTGCTTGCTTCTTGTTAAGCCTGTGTCCTTCCTCCTGTCCATCTAGACTAGCTAAAAAAGGGCAGTGTCGCCCAGCTGCAAGTGCAGCGAACCCATTCCACTGACTCAGGCTGCCTTTCATGCTAGTGGAATGTGCTTTTGAATAGGGATCTCCTGTCATGTCAATAGGGGGGAGAGGGAACTATCTGTGCTGCTTTGTCCCCCTTTGCTGTTCAGGCTGGGGTGGTGTGTGTGAAAGTGGTCTGCAAGGTGTTGATTTTTTTCTGTGGTCTGGAAATGCCACCATAGGCTGATATTTGAGGTTGTTCAGCTGCTCAAGGTATAATTAAAAAATTTTAAAAAACCCAAGCTGTTGGACTAGGCATGCTAGATAATTCCAGTCTGTGGGTCGTTTCTTGCTAAATCACTGGTTTCAAGTTCAGATTAGATCTTTTCTAAGTAATAACGATTAATTATTTCTTGGGGGTTTTCATAGTACAAGTAGGGACAGTGCCTTGTCATAGGGAAACCTTAGGGCAGGCCTGAACTCCAAACCTTCTATTATATTGAACAAAAACCAAAAGGTTGAGGGAGAAGATGAGGCAAGAGCTGCAAAAATAGACACTCAGTCACAAGGAGGTGGGAATTGCTGGGATGATGTCTTGATGAAAATGTCTTTGAAGGCCTATCCATGAGGTCTGTGCCTGGGGCCATACCTCCTCAGCTGCTGATGTAGCTGGGGTGTCATCTGCCACTATTCTGCTGCCTGCTCCCCCTCCACTGCCCTTGAGCTTACTGGCTGGGAGGCTGAGCTCAGCCTCTGAGTTTCATCCTCTTTCTCTGGAGGTGGGAAGGAAACCTTGATTCCATGACACAGGTGCCTTGCACCTGGGGCATGGAAGTGACTGGACAGGTTTTTGGGGTGGAGGGCTCTCTGTCAGCAGAGTTCAGTTGGTGTCTGTGTGCTGCAATGAGAACCAGGGCAGCTCCTGTGGAAACCAGATGGCTGCCCAGAGACATCAAGTTGAAGCTTTCCACTGAGCAGACAAATGCAAACCTCCATGGCCTCTGAATCTGATGTGGTGACAATTCCTTTTTGTGTAAACACTGAATTCTGTGCCTTTGCAGATTTCCTGAGGAAGGGACGTGTGTTTGCAGGGGGATGGATGGACCATGGTTTGAACAATGATTTGCATCTGAGTGACCTGCCAGAAGGCAGGTCCATGGGCCCTTTCCTTCTATGTTCAGGCTTAGCTATCCTTGGGGAATATTTGGGGAGAAGCTTAAGTATCAGGAAAGTCCACATTTTTAGCTTGTTAAAAGAATAATTGCATGAAATCCCAGAACCTCAAGTAAGAATGATGATCATAAAAAATTCATTACCTACTTACCGCAGAAGCTTAGGGACTTTCCTGAGCCTGACTTTCTCAATTTGACATCAAAAAAAACAATGTCCTTTGATCTGCTAAGTTCTAAGTAATGAAGTTTTTGCCCTAGAATCACCTTTATTGACTTAAACTGTGAAGTGCATCCCCTTTAGTTTGTTTTTTTGAATTGATTTCATGTGTCTGTCTTCCATTAGGTTGATGACAAGAGATAGCAGCAGCAGCATTGGAATAATTGTGCAGTTGTTATCAAGGGACATGCACAGTATAATTTTTTATAACAGGGATGGAAATTTCTTTTCCCTTCCAACATCCAGTTTTGGGAATCATCATCTTTCCTGTGTTATTGGGCACTGCCTTAGAAGCATTGCCCAGTGATGAAAATCATATTGGGCTCTGGTCACTTTAAAACTTTTTAAATACTATTAATATTCTGTTAATGATTGAGCATAAAAGTTCTCTCAGAAAAATCCCCTGTTGGCAATGTTTGGTCTCATGTGAATGTGGATAGATGTGGAGGACCACACAAACTTCTTAGCTGGGCTGAAGGGAGTGAGGAGTGATAAAGGGTCATCACCCCTGACCTGGAAGAGTTTAGAGGGATGGGAGAGTGAAAACATGCACGTGAATTGTGCAAACCACACAGCTTCAGAATTATTGTAATCCTTTACTTGCTGTTGGGCAGCTCCAGACCTGCATGCAGGAGGTGAGCCGAGTCCTGGCCATCTCCATTCCTGCAGGATTTGTCCCACACGATATGGGCTGGGAAGATTTTCTGAAATACAATGGTTTTGGCTCTTGCTGATGCCTCTGAGATGGGTGCTGACACAGGTGAGTGTGGCATGAGGAGAAGCAGATACAAGAAATCAATCCTGTAATGAACCATGGGAGCTGGGAGCAACTTTGGCACATGGGAAATGAACAGTCTAACAAATACAGGTTTTTTTGTTCACTGCCTCAGGAAGTGAGGAAAACGGGATTATGGCTGTTTTGCTGCCTGAAGCAAAATGTCCTATGAGGACATTCCCCTCCTGTCCCCATTTCTTTGTGTGTTCTGGGGAGCCTGTGCCACTCTAAGCTGCAAAAGGAGATAGGATTATAAATTGCAGCTAAAGCAGAGGCTGTTTTTCTCCCACAGATAGTGTGGGACACTAATGAATTGCTTTTCTTCCATGACTCACCTCTTACTTCCTTATAGGTGAAATGTCAGCTAATCCAGTTGAACCCTTTCTTTTTTTTTTTTAAAGTTCAGCCCACTGAACAAACCCCAGAATTTGTTCTTGAACTGAAACTTGGAGATAACAGCAAGTTAGCCTCATCCCTTCGATAAACAGAGTTAAACTTGCAATTCTCAAGGTACTTTTGTAGGTCAATGGAAACTGTCAATCTGGTGGAGTTTTGCAGCACAGAAAAATAATGTTCTGCTGTCTGCTGGTTAAAAACAACTGCAGGATCTTTAGTTCAAAATTTTCTGGGGTTTATTTTGGCTTGTGCTGTTGTCTTTATGATCACACATGTAACAGTGTAAGACACTGCTGCAGATCTCAGTGGTTTTAGGGTATGAATTAGCCTTTGTTTTATCATTGTCCGAATAAAGCTTGATTGCTTTGACTCGCTGGATTTCGTGAGAGTCGGGAACAGAAACATCAGCAGAAACATCCGCTTTACCAAGAATAAATGTGCATGCAGGAGCAGTTCTCAGCTAACAAGGATGTGTGCACACTTGGGTATTTTGTCTGTGACCAATTAGCATGATCTCCCTCTTGGCAGTGCAGCATGTATGGAGTATTTCAGCCCCTCTGATACCTTCTCCATTGCTGGCCTACACCTGCACCCTCAGCAATCTTTAAATGGCTTTGCTATAATTAGCTGGTACACCTAACTTGATGTAATTCTTGTGTATAGCACTGATAAGCCAAAAGCATGAATAATATCTCCTGTTCCATAGTGCTACTCTGAAATAATGTTAATAATGTTAAAATACACAGCTACCAAAACCCATGGCATGGGATCTTCTTTTGGAGGATATTGCTTCTTGCCATAGCTTTACTGTGGCCCACCTGAAAGCAATTGAGCATGTGAGGGTTATCTTTTACAGTGAGTCTGGTTGTTACATTGTTTAAATGCCAGAATGATTAATCTGTACCAGTCTAAAGTAATGAACAATCCTGGGGGCTGGAAGAAGCCTGCTGAGTCTGGACAGGCTGTTCTGCTTAGGTGGACAACTTGTTTGGGATTCCCATGGTGGGGAACTATGTCCCCACCAAACAGGAGATGTGTTTATTCCACACTGGTGGCAGCTGTTCAGTACAGATTGAAAATGTTGGGGAGAAGGTGGTTTGGTATTCTGGGGTTTCCCCAATACTGATATTTCAAATCTTTGTGCCTGTGACCCAGAGGGGACTGTGGAAAAAAGAAAAGTTGCTTGTGAGATCCATATTGTAGAAACATTATATGGGCACCTTCTTTGGAGAGCCCTTGAAAATATGCTTGCTCTCTTGGGTCCCTGGCCTGAAACACCATCATTGGGAGAAGTCCTCAAGGACCCTGGTTTATGTTTTGTGCTTAGGAGTTGTGTCAAGGGATGATAGCAAAAGTACTTTTGGCAGGTGATCCCTCCACCTTGGAATGAGTTTTTCACTCAGTGAGACTCTGGAGCTGCTCTCTTTGAACAGAGGGGCAGCATAAACCCAGCCATGAAATCAGCACCTTGCAGTCTTCCCAGCACTCTGGGAACTTAGAAATTAGTTGTGTTTTTGATCATAATTAATATAGGGTCTTTCTTACAGACCTATGCTAATTGTGTGCAAGTGATCTTGGATCTGTGCTGTATCTCAGTGAGCAAATGACATCTTTAACAATTTTTTGGGCCACCAAACTGAAGATTACACAAAGTCTGGCAAAACTTCTTCTGTTGGGCTTTTTTTCAACTTCAAATGCTAATATGTCAAAAGTCTTGATATACTTCTCGTGTTGCCCTGCAGTATGTCTCCTTCCACCTTGATACATCCTGGTTCATAATCCTGAGTTTTCAACAAAGCATAGGCTATCTAGTGTTGTTTTTTTTTCTGTGTAGATGATAACTCTAGTATATGTATATATATACATTTTATGTTTATGTATGTATCAATAGAAATGTAAAATTTCCTGCACAGATGCCACCTTGATTGTGTCAGATACTGACTCAACAATTGTATGCAAAAATGATGCTGAACAGGTGATCCTAAAGAGGGGGGCAGCTCTGTTGTCTAGCAGCAGTTCACCTGGAGCAGGCTTGAGCCAGGGAAGTCCCCTGAAGCATTGAGGGCAGTAACAATTAAGGCAGCAGGGAACAGCAAGATATGTAAGTATGTGTTGATTGTTTCATTTTAAAAATGTATGTCTCTGCTTTTATCCTCTTAGACTGTTTCGACATAAGGCATGTGTTCTGGTTACTGGAGAGTGCAAAATTATGAGGGGAAGGAATCAGTGGCCAGTTCTGGTCTTTGTGGCCAGTAAACAGGGTTTGAGCGTGGCTGGAGAGACCCAGGATGAAGCATTTCCACCTCGGGAAGTCCAGGCATGCAGTGGTGGGTTGCATGCATTCTGTTGTCCCTCAGTCTTTCTCTGCTCCCTTTTCCCCGGCTCCAAGGCTTCCTGCTCTTGGGAGAGAAATTGGTTGAGGCTTGGTTGCTGTGCATCCCTCTGCTGCCTTCAGGGTTCTGTTTGTTCCAAATGCCTCTTGTGCCTGTTCTGTCCCTAGTTAGTGCATCTCTTTGCCAGGAGCTCTGGATTTTGCTTTAGCGTGATTTGCACAGCTTAAGCTCTTTCCTGGGCTATCCTGTCTTTTCATTTCCCATTTGTGCCGGCTGTCCGCTCAAGTGGCTGCTGTCAGCACACAGTGGAAAAACACTGATCCGTGAGAAACACTCTATAGCATATCAGCAGGAATTCCTGGGCTGCTTCTGGGCTGCCTCTTTGTCAGAAGAGCTCAGCCATGTCTTTGTTTTCTCTCTAGCTAGTCAGAGACGCTGCAGGTTTGTTTGGAGCTTTTCTCATCGTATTTGCTCAGTAACCAGGGCAGTTGCCCATTGTTTCACTTGCATTTTTGTTGTGTGTTTTTAAGTGCCGCGAGGCACAATATCTTCATGCCGGCAGAATAAGTTAATCTCTTAGCCAACAGCCGGGCGACAAAAAATTTCTGACTTGGGCTGCAATAAGAGAAGGGAAATTAGCTGAATTTTTCCCAGCAATGCAAAAAATGAAAATTCAGCCCATTTGTTTGAGCTGTGTGGTCCCAAAGGGAGAACTCTGATCTGGCACATCACTCTGCCACAGACAAAGAATAGTTGATTTTTGTAAATTGGTGCTGCGATCATTTCAATCTGGAAGGAATAAACACGCAGACAGTCTGGCGGTGACTGGGGGTGAAGGGCATGTGACCTAAGAGGTGGCGTTCCTCTCTTGATTTGTGTAACAAAGAACCAGCTTGTGCCTGTGTATGCCAGCAGGATAAATATATTAATTTCACCAGTGGTCCGTGTCAGTGCAGCTGCGTGAAAACTGAGCTGTCACTGGAGACAAAACTTTGTCTGTCCTTTGTTGTCATGTTGTGAAAGCTGGGGCAGTGAGATGAGGGTGAAGATGAGCAGCCCTGCCTGGGCACCCCTCTGGCTGCAGAGGCAGCTTCAGGCAGGAGGGCACGGATTCCTGCACATGCAGAAAAGCAAATGCCCTTGATCACTAAAAAATGGGGAGGTAGGAGGAGAAAAGAAAGCTATGTTTTCTTGGATCAGCCCCCTGTGGAGGCAAAGAAAAGCCTGCCATAAGTTAATGGGCCACTTTCATAAATGTGGGAGCCTTGTGCATGCAATGTGGCTCAGCCTGTCTGAGCTAATGCAGCTGTCAGCCTGTTTGTCTAGAAAATGCTTTTCTGAAAGGTATGATTATTCTAGACTGTTGAGCCAGTTCTTCTGTGTGAGTGCCTTTAAACAACACCAGTGGTACATGTGGAAAGATTACAAACAAAGAGAGAGGGGGCAACATTTTTGATAGCCCAGGGAGGGCAGGAGAAGAGATTGTGCTGCCTGACCAACAAGGACACCTGTAGTGTCTTCTGAATTGCTCAGGTCTCTCACCAGCCTGTGTGATGCATCCTGTGCAGGTGTGGTTATTTTTGGGGAGATTGCCCGTGGGGCAGTGAGGATGAGAGCAGCGTGAGGCACGGGGATAGATATATTCCTGCCTCTGCAGGGCCGTCCCCTGTGTTGGCTGTGCTTAGGTACTCACAAGACGTTCTGGAAGGGTACTTTTTAAAACCTTGTCCTTGGCCCTGGAAAAAGCATCCTTCCCCAGCCACATTGGGGTGTGCAAAGCACCCCAAGGCAGTGCTGAAGTCTGGTCCTGTCCTCATCAGGTGGGGGGGAAATTGGCAGCAGGCTCTGGGGAGACCCTTTGTTTGCTTGTGTTATTAGCAAGGAGCGAGGAAATAATGATTTATTGATGCTTCTGTGATTCTCCTACACCAGGCCATGAAGGAAGAAATTCAGTTTTCTGGCTGAGAATCATGGCTCTAATTGAGCAGTTGTTCCTTGCAGAGCAGCTGGCCTGTGGGGTGCTGGTGGTACCCCCAGTTCTCTGATACAGTGCCCCATAGGCAGTATGGCCTGTGATCCCCAAGGGTCACTGCTCGTCCACTGCCATTGGCCATCCCCAGGCTGGTGGAGACAGGCTGCTCATAGAGCCCAGCATTTCTCTGCTGCAGCGAGAAATTAGATTAAACCAGAAATATCTGATAGAGGGGGTGGCACCCACTCCTTTCTGGGGTGAGGCACTGGAGGGAATGTGTTATAAATACGTCAGCAAATACTCCTTGATCTTTGTAGTTTGTTGGGCAGAAGGTTGATGCCTCTTGGCCACGGCCTGGGCACCATCACTCCATACTGACCAAGGAGCCCCCTGTGCTCACCCTGTGAGGGCTGGTGCCTTCCATTGCCATCACTGCCCTGTCACTGTCCTGTCCCTGTTCTGTCCCTGCCACCTTCTGTGCCTTCCCAGAATGGCTGGCATGGCTGTGCCTGGTGAGCTGGTAACTGGTGAAGGACACAGTTAATAGCTTGCATGCTGCAGTGGTTGCTCGGCTTCTGCCAAACCCCACCGTGCAGCCTCAGTAAATCCAGTTGAATTCCTGGGCTTTGCTTGGTACGTCTCTTCTGATAACCCTACAGCAATGCCCTTTTTATGAATTCCCTTGCTTCCATGCGAGCCTTAGCTTATGAACAGGGTTTCATCTCTAGCCTAGAGCATAGCATGGGGCAGGACTCTGCAGGACTTTGGAGCACCCGACTCCTGCCTGCACTCCAGGGCTCTGCTCTTGCTGCTGCTTTGTGGCCTCCTTTGCAGGCTGAAGAGCTGTGTATGACCAGGGCTGCCTGTGAACGTGTGAGCTGGATGTACTGCTCAGGACCTCTGCCTGCCTGTGTCCCAGCTGCCAGCATCCTCAGGAATGAGTGCTGGATGCAGGAAGGATTCCCCTGTCCTGCAGAGTGATTGATCTCCCTAGATTGCATGGGGAAAACAGCGAGGCACTGCCCAGAATTGCTGTGAGTACATAATCCCTTGAGTCCTAGGGAGGAGATCATAGGTGAGATCTTGGCGAACCAGACTTTTGCCCCCTTGCAATCTGCACTCATTTCAACTGCAATGTGCTTTTTCATCTATCCCTCTTTAAACAAAAGCAGTGCCATTTTGATTAACCTGAGGAGTGTGCAGATTCCTTTAAATCACATGATCTAATACTGATATTTATTTTTTAACTTTATGACTGTAATGCAGGGAATCCCTGATGCTGGGTGTCCTACAAACCCAGAATGTGAGGCAGCCTGTGTACTGAAGACCCTGCTGCTTCCCCCCTCACCCAACATACACCCTCCAAACTCAGCTGAGCAAGGGAGATGGTTTATGAACAGCATCAACAGTGTCATAAAGTGGCAAGTTAATGCTGCTTTTTTATTCCAGCCCTTTGACAGGGCCTTGTTAATAGACAGTTGGGAACAGAAACAAAAGGAAAGGGCACAGCAACTAAAAGCCAGTTGTCAACAGTGCTGCATTAGTGTGAAAATGCTGTGTTTTATCAGGAAGGAAGCACCCTCTCCGTAATAAATGGCATTGCACAGCAAGGAGCAGCTCCGTAGGAGCGCCTCTCCTGTGGAGGCAGGCTGAGAGAGTGGGATTGTTCAGCCTGGAGAAGCCTTTAGGGAAACCTCATTGCCTCCAGTACTTTAAGGGGGCTAATAAAAAGATGGACAATGACTTTTTACATTGGCAGGTAGTGCTAAGACAAGGCAGTAAGGTTTTAAACGGAAAGGTGATGATTACATTGGATGTTAGGGGGAAATTCTTTAACTGGAGAGTGGTGAGGCACTGGAAGAGCTTGCCTAGAGAAGCTGTGGATGCCTCATCCCTGGCCAGGGCAGGTTGAAAGCCAGGTTGGATGGGACCCTGGGCAATCTAGTGACATTCCTGCTCATGATAGGGGATTGGAACTAGAAGATTTAAAAGATCCCTTCCAACCCAAACCATTCTATGATTCCAGCCTGTGGATGGATTCCTGTGGACTGGGCTGATGTTCCCTCTGGAAGAGGGCGGAGATGCTGAGCTATTCAGTAGGATTCAGTGCTCTATACTGCTATGTTCCCTTGGATGATCAAGAACTGAGAAAGGGTTTAAACCAATGTGGGTAAAAGCATGGAAGACTGGGGGGGACTCTTGTGGGAGTGCAGGAGGGCAGGTGGGGTGTGCAGAGGGCAGAGGTCTGTAGCACTCAGTATAACACTGGCATTCTCCTGGAGACAGCAGCGCTGGGGACTTCTGAACTGTTCCTCTTTCCCAGAGAGAGCATGCAGCTTGCTGTAATTTTTTCTTATCTTCTCAGAAAACAGTGAGAATTTGCTGAAATAACTTGCTATTCCTTCCAGCCCTCCTTGGAATGTGTTCAAATACACTTTGCTCCATTTCCTTAGTTCTGTAGTTAGAGGTGGTGAAATGCTCCCTAGGCCATGTCCTTAGGCCACATGGGGCTGCTTGAAGGCTTCGTCCTAAAGCTGAGTTCTGAGTCTTGGTTTTGTTCTCGACCAGATACTTTAACAAATTTGATTTTATTTTTAAAGTTTTCCCCAGTTGCTTTCTTCCCTATCTGTCTTTCTTGGGAAAACAACAAAAAAATCCCCCTTCTAAATTTTTCAAAGCTGAGTATTGCAGAAGAGGCCTCTCATCCACACCTTGTTTTTTTCCCCACAGTCTGCGGTAGCTATTAATTCACGTTTGGTTAAGCAATTAACCAGGATATAAATAATACATAGCATGTTATCAGAAAACTGCATGCCAATGTTATGGAGGCAGGCGCTTTTGCCCCAGCGGGGAGGGCTTCCCTTCTGTGCTCTGCAGCCCCCAAGGCCAATTAAGGTGCATCCTTGATGAAAACCCAGCCACTGCTTGGCTGGATAAATAGCTGCTCTGATGCAGGGAGGGGGGGGCCAAAGCGAGTGAAAGAAGGGTTTAGTGTTCCAACAGCTGCAGTGAGCACTGGAGTCTGAGCATTCCCCTCCTCCCCTTGTGCATGGGCTGAGGCTGGAGCAGCGGGACCGAACGGATGGTGCTGGCACTAGTGGCAGCTTATGGGAGACCTGTGGGTCAGAGACTCAGCAGCGTGTCCTTTGCCTTCTGCCTTAGTCCTGTAAAGGTCTTTTCTCTTGAAGGCATATCAGCTGTTGATAAACAATGCCTTTTAGAGTGTCACAAGTGTAGAAACTTGCTTTATCTTCCTGTTCGCTTTCTAGCCTCCTCTTGTGAGTCCAGGGAGTAGCCTTTGGTGTTTTCTTCTTTCAAAGCTGCTGTTTATTTTAATTGCAGTAACAAGTGCTAAACCAGCTGGTGGGAGGAATAAATGTTGCTGTGGCAGTTTGGGTGGAGATTTTATAAGTTCAAGTGCCAAGTCCTGTATTTGGGCCACAATAATCTCCTGCAGCTTTAAAGGCTGGGGTCAGTGTGGCTGGACAGTGCCCAGGCAGAAAGGGACCTGGGGGTGCTGGTGACAGCTGACTGAACATGAGCCACCAGTGTGCCCTGGGGGCCAAGAAAGCCAATGGCTCCTGGCCTGGATCAGGAACAGTGTGGCCAGCAGGAGCAGGGAGGTTCTTCCCCTGTACTCAGCACTGGTGAGGGCACACCTGGAGTGCTGTGTCCAGTTCTGGCCCCTCAGTTTGGGAAGGACATTGAGACGCTTGAGCACGTCCAGAGGAGACAACGAGGCTGGTGAGGGGCTGGGAACACAAACCCTGTGAGGAACGGCTGAGGGAGCTGGGGTTGTTTAGCCTGGAGAAAAGGAGACTTGGAGGTGATGTTATCAATTTCTACAACCTCCTGAAAGACGTTGGTAGTCAGGTGGGGGTCGGTCTCTTTCTCCAGGCAGCAGCTGACAGAATGAGAAGACACAGTCTTAAACTGCACCAAGGGAAATATAGGTTGGATATTAGAAAAAAGTTCTTTACAAAAAGAGTGATAAAGTACTGGAATTGTCTGCTTAGGGAGGTGGTAAAGTCACCATCCCTGGATGTGTTTAAAAAAAGACTGGATGTAACACTCAGTGCCATGGTTTAGTTAAGGTGTTAGGGCATGGGTTGGACTTGATGATCTTGAAGATATCTTCCAACCTAGTGATTCTGTGATTTGTAAAAGATGCTTCAAGTTACAAAACAAGTACCTAAAAAAAATCAAGAGAAAAGTGAGGAAAAAAGAAAACCCAAACCATCCAGAGCCGATAGACTCTGGAGACCACCAGATTTCAGCTGTCATATTCACAGTTCTGAATTTGCTCCACAGTAACGCAGCAAGAGAAGGAATAATTTGGCTTGGGATAAGCTTGGCTTTGCCGTGGGATCTCAAAACCTTCCTGCAACAGGCTAAATATTCAAGGCTGCTGCATGGTTCTGAAGCTTTATCTCTGGTCTCCATGTAGGAATCATTGGACTTCGGTGCTTGTAACAGTGACTTTCTTCCCCAAACATAAGCTCTAGGAGTTTACTGTACTGTGTCTTTTCTGCTATAATCTCTGGTGCAAAAGAACCTCAGCTGGAGGGAACAGTAACATGTTGGATGTTGTTTCTCAGGTGCTGGAGCAGGATGTGGTTCTCCAGTCCATTGACCGTGCCATTGAGGCTGTGCACAATGCAGCCATGAAGAATGGGGGGAAATACAACCTGGAGCAGAGAGATGTCCTGCAGTAAGTGTGATGGGCATCTGGGAGAACTAGAGGATGGAGGGTGGTCACAATGTCATTCTGTCCTTGGGGGGATGTTGGATGTTAGTGTTTTGAGCCCCTGTGCTGCAAAGTGCTGCTGCACTCGGAGACGTTCTCAGTGTTCGAGCTGCTGCTGCTCCTCCTAACAACTGTGTCCAGCGAAGTAGAGCTTTGGCCTTGCTCCTCTATCTCTGTGCATGCCAAGAAAAGGAGATTCTCAGCCACACTGTAGGCTTGGAGGAGAAAACAAAAACCTTTCTGGCTGCATTTTCTCTGCTTTACCAGCCAGGAATTGTAGAGGTTTTTGGCACGTGACACAAGGTCTTTAGTATGTTCTCAAATAATTGCTTCTGAGGAGAATTTTTGTTTTCTCTGACACCTCAGACTCTGTGCTGAGGCATGCTGGTTTAATCTCTGTTGAACAGCAATTCTAAAGTGCAGGCAATTTCTGAAGCTTGCAGTGCAATATGTGACTCTCCCCCGAGGAAGAGGCATTTTTCTTCAGTGAGCTGATGAATAAATTATGGGCTCTTGCAAAGCCTCTTCCTTCCTCCCCCAGAAGTGCTTCCTTAGTTGTTAATGAAACTGGAGATGGTGTGCAGAGTAATGTAGCCCATTCTGGTATATATAGCCCAGATACAATAAATCATTAAAAAATAATTTAAATATTGCAGCATGGTCACTCCCTTGAGCTTTGCTCTTCCTGATGTCATCATTCTGTTTCAGAAAACTAATCCATCACCGGAAGGAGACTGTGTCCCGTAAAAGCCACTCTCCCACCCCGCAGGGGACGGTTATGACTCAGTCCTCCAGTGATCACCACCTGGATGTGTCCCGGCAGCCCAACGGGGTGTGCCGGACAGGCTACGAGCGACACCACAGCCTTCCCAACACCGAGTTCGAGGAGGAGGATGACAGTCTCTATCAGGTAACAGTGGCTGGACACTTGCAAGGCTCCTCCTTTGATGGTGTGACAGTTCTTTTCCTGTTGAATAAAATGCCTTTGCAGCTAAAGTTACAAATCAGGTGTTTGTGCTGCTGACCTGGGATTACTGCAGTGTAAAGTGAGAAATCTGAGTCCCTCTGCCACTTACACTTGTCATACTTTTTGGAATACTTGAGGGTCCATGGTTTTATACAAACATGCAAAATCCACTCTATACTGTGTGACTATCTCTTGGCAACTTTCTAAAAGAGATGCAGGCTCTCTGGAGAATGCTTTGAAGAGCAGTTTTGACATGAGCAGTAGAGCTCCCTCCAAGCACTCAGCACTACTTCATTTCCCCCTTGTTATGTCTGCACAAGATCATTGGTCCTTAAGTGTTTTATCTGCTGTGGCTGCCTATTTATACTACTCAAAACAAAACAAAAAGCCAAAAAAAACCCCCAAAGATCCTGCTTTTTCTGAAGGTTGCTTATCATGATGAATTTAAAGGCAAATTGCAGGAAATAAGATTTAGAGCAGATCTTTTTTTATCTCAGCAACACGCAGTTCCAAGGTTACAGTGCGGAGTCAGTGAGGCTTCAAAGTAGCAGCCAAGGATGAGGCTGTGGCTGTTGGGGATGAATGATGTGCCAGATTTCCCTGTGTAGGTGTAGCTGGATGTTAGGGCTAAAGACGCCAGGCAAGGATGAGCATGGAGATTTTTTTATTCCTCCTACAGATGAACACATGCACGGTAATTTTTCTTCATCTCTCTGGGCTGAGTGTTTGGAGGTATTGTGTTTATAAGGCACTGATCTGCTGTCACCCCCAGCAGATGAGGCTTGTTTTACACTTGAAGAACTGTGAGTTTGGGGAGATGAAAGGTAGCTCTGGCTCACTCTGGCTGAACACACAGATTTCTACAAACCCCATTTTTCTCCTCAGTATTCATTTTTGTTCTTTGGCAGTCAAACTAGCTCCATTCTCAAGCCTGCACATTGTGGGCTGAGCAAATGGGGCACCTTACGGCCCATTCTCCATGCTGATTCCCTGTCTTTATCTGGTCTGTGGTTTGGTTGCTTGCCAAAAAGGAGGAAGACGAATTTCCTTGGCTGACAAAGAAGTGTTTCTGTCTGGGTGGCACTGAGGATGCAGTTGAAGGGCTTCCAGCTTAGCCCTGTGCTGAAAGGGCTCCTTGAGATTTTAACAGCTCTGTGGATTTCCTGGCTGCTTTGAAAATACAAAGTGGAGGAAGCAGCATTGCTTTCTTCCACTGGTTATGCAGTAAAAGGAGACCTAATGAAATCTTAAACTTTCTCACTGGCTCCAGAGAAGCAGAGGTCTTGGCCTGTGCTTTTCATTGCTTGGGATTTTCAGGTGCATTCAGTGTTTGCATCTGAAATCCTGAGCAAAATTTGAGGTTTCCTCTCAGTGGTTTTGCTCCCAGGTCTGAACTGGCTGCAGTAGTTGGTGAGGGTATTTGTGCTTCAGCTTCTCCACAGTCAGCATAAGGTGGGAGACTGGGCTGCTGCCATATCAGCTGCCAAGGGTGGAGGTTGGGCTCTTGGAGTATTTTTTAGTCAGTCTGCTGCATTTGTGCATGCTCAGTGAGTTTGTGATGCTCATCTCCAGAAACCTTTGCTACAGACCAGTGTGTCTGGCTTGGCAGAGTTTGCTTGGAGGAGGTAGTGGGTGGGAGATTGTTCATTTGCTTTACTGTTTTATTGTTTTGTTTAAAGGGTACTACTGTAATAACGTTGTTCCCAGGAGTCAGAATGGTGATGTTCTCTGCCTGCTTGGCTGCAAAGGGAATGGGAATGTTGTGCTTGAGTCAGTTCTTGTCTTTGAGCAGCACAGGGAGCATAGCCTGGTATCAGTCCTTGAAAAAGGGTAAAGGACAGGCAGCAGATACGTAAAATCTGTGGATTTCAGAAAGTTCACAATGCCCTAATAGAGGCCTGGGGAAAGGGAGGCTTTCAACACAAGTACAGTTGCTTCTCTCTAAATCTTTGGTAATGTCCCTCATCTTTTCCCTTCTGGACAGGTGGGATCTGAACTTCAAAGACTCCTGTGTGGTCACCTTGTCCATGTCAGCTACACAGAGGAGGGGGGTTTCCCTTTGGGGATTTTGTGTTGTACATCCTCCTGTTGGAGGCAGTGGCTAGGATGTGGGGTGGAGGGAGGGGATGGCCATCAGTTACACCTCACACCTCCTGACTAAGCGGCTTGGGCAAGCCCAGAGTTTTTCCTGTGATGCTTCACATTCTTCTTGCAGCCACTTGTACTGTGGTGTGTGGTTGTCTAAACTGGTAAAGGCTGAGCTAGCATTATCTATACATCTATTAATTTAACCACTAGCCTGTAATAACTGTGTTAAACTTGTGTGGTAAATTTGGAAGGGCTAAGGAAGCCGTGGAAATACTCCAGAATGACCCAACCTTCGTTATCTCTAAACAATGTCATGCATCTGTGCTAAGCTCTGAGCCTGCCTGTCTGCTAAATCCCACTGCCTCAGTAATCGTGGCTGTGCTGTGCCAAGCAGCTCCAACTCGTGCTGTCAGCTCCAGCACTCTGCAGACAGGACTCTGCTTTTAGCACAGCTGAGCTTTCTGGATTTGGGGCCAGCCTGCCAACCATGCAATGCAGAGACCCTCCCCCCCAATCTGCTTGACCTCTCTCAGCTGTGCAGTCTCTTTTTGGACCAACACAGATAATTTTTGTAGCTGTATGCAAGTATCGGATAGCGTTCCACCCAGAGAACAATGCAGGGTGGATTGACACGAGCTGAGAGTGCAGGCAGGGAGTCTGCAGCAGTGTCTCCTGTTAATTCACCAGCTGAAGGCACTTGTAAAGAAGTGGCTTTTATATGACATGGGATAAGGTTGGATGTATTTGGTGTTGGGTGGGAAAGGGACTAAGAGATCCTTTTTTAAAAATCTTTATGCAAACTGCTGTGTCTTCACTTGTCTAGTGGATCTAGACATAGGCTGTGAACACATTGTTAGCTTTTGGTATCGAGTCTTGAATATTTGAGGTGGCTTTTGAAGGTGTTTTATCTACAGGAATATCTTTACTCCCATTTCAGATTAAGTTTTTGCTCTTTCTGGATCTGGGGGAAAAAAAAATACATTTTTCATTCTCCTCCTCAGCTATGTAAGATAGAGACCCTTGAGGGGCGTGTGTCAGATTTTCACTGTAGGGTGGCAGAGCTCTGTGCCCTGTATGGTGTTTATAATAGGTCTATTCAGCAATGACAGGGCACAGAAAAACTTCTCTTCCAGGGCCAAACACACCTGGAAAATTTTCACTTGTGTTGGACTGAATGTCACTGTAGATTCCAAATGGTTGAAGGCTGCGTTACCCGAGACATCCAAACCATCACCTCCTTTCCCATCCTGTGCTCCCCTGGGAGGTTTGGCAGTAGACAGTGATTGCAATATCCCATAAAAGCAGAAGCAAATTTGAAGCAGCAGGCTCTGAATCCCAGCAGTCCCTAACAGCTCCCAAGCAAAGTCTTCTGATCCTGAGCTGCTGGGCTGTGGGGACTGGCACATGAATGCAATGTGCAGTGCTCCCACCTAGTTTGGCTGCTGTGTTCAGTGATGCTCTACTGATTAGAGGTTAACCCTGAGGCTGCACCTCGCTGGAGTAATTGTGGGTAAACGTGATATTGGTGATCACGGTGTTTAGATCTGACAGGAAAAGATGAGTGTAGGACTCTGGGTCTTGGGGGTTGTACACTGCTGGCTTGGAAATCCTTGAAGAGACTTGCACGAGAAACCCCAGATGTGGAGAGTTACTGCAAATCCCTGGCAAAGCTTTTCCCAGTGCATCTTGCTATAGGTAGCATAGTACTGCACTGTAACATATTACTGCACTAAATAGGGTCAAACCCTATTTTCTCCCTGCATGAGCAGAAATAGCTTTGAAAGCATGGAAAAGGCATTTACATGTTTCCAGTCCTTGGCTTTGTCTTTCGGCAAGGGTATTTGTAGCTGATGTAATGGAGCTCTCCAGAAGAGTGTGTAAATACGCACTCTGTTTGCAGCCTCTGTGGAGCTATTGAGAGTAATGTGGAGACATGGTAAGTGTGTGGGATTGCATTTGGAATAAAGGAGGAGTAAATGCTTGACAGGTCTACACGACATATGTGCCATGTGCTGCTGAACACAGCAATTAAACAAGAGCTGCTTTGCCTGTCACAGGGAGGGGATGAAGTCAGTTTGAGTCCTGCTTTGTTCTTCTAGGAGGCCGCCTATTAGCATCTGTCCTCCTGAGAAAACTACCCCAAATGATGAGCGAGATGTAAGGACAAATATACACATGCATGTGAGAAAGAAGTCTTTGTAAAAGAGATATCTTTATTGTCAACCTCCTTTGATTGCTCTGAAATCTTTCCTTATAGATCCCACCACAGGCTCATCGTGCTGCTCCTGTCACCCCCCCACCTCCAGAGAAGCGCAAGACCACACAGATTGCTGCTTCCATTAAAAGTAAGGACAAACTGCTCTCCCGGTCTTGGGCATGAAACAAACACTGGGTGATTTAACAACCATGGGGCCTGAATGCTTCTGCTTTGTGGTTAGATGAACATCCTTATCCGTTCCCTGAATTCCTATATGGTTTATATCCTTACAAATACATGTATAAAATATAGATAGCTTAGATTCCTGTAAGTTTCAATGCTAGTGGTCCTGAGCTGGTGACCAGTGCTTCTTCAAGTCTGTTCTGATTTGGGAGGGTCTGAGCAGCTTGTGGATGGGTGCTAAGTACAGCGTCCCCCTGCTCCTCCATTGCCTGTAGCCCTGGGAATCACAGTGCTCTCCAAGGAGCAATTCAGCCTGCTCATGTGGCTGGTCTGGCTAGTGCACAAGGTCAGTGGTTTAAGATCATTTTTCTCACACAGATAACTATGGCTGTCTCCCAACAAGGCAGAGGGAATGTTCCCTTGCATGTAGAGTGTGATACTTTTTCTGGGGAACTCACTGGCTTTTAATGCAGTCTCAAGTCTTGTTTATGACTTCCAATCTGCTGGGCATTTTCTTTGTACAGTGGTTGGGTTTCCATTAATTCAGTGGCTATAAGGAGCAGTAATAATACCAGGGACACATCTGCCTATGTGCTGCCCACAGGCAGAGGACCATGGGGTCAGGGCAGGAGTTTCTTAATCTTCAGCATGATTGGGCTGACAGAGCAGTGCTTATCCTTCTGACTTGGTTCCAGCTTGCCCAAGTGCTCTGCTGTGCTGTGACAGTGATGCCATTGGTGACACTCAGCCCATCTCAAGCCCACTCATGTCCCCTTGTGTGGAACAGGGCAGAGCTATTGACTTGCAGGTAATTGAGACCTGGGACTGGCACCAACTTCCATAATGGTACTTAATGGTATTCAGCCATTTTTCACTGGAGTAGTGGGAATTTGCAAAGGTCAGTTTCCTTCAACACATTGTTTTGATTTAATGAAGCATGGGGGGAGCTATGATTCATGAATGATTATCTGTGAGGAGGAGGAAAAAGAGGGATGCTGAACCTGTGTGGGAGTGAAGGGTCCAGTTTTTCTGCCTAGCTGGTGTTTACTTTGGGCGGAGTGGTGGATGGACTAGTGGAGGGCTCCAAGCCCTGATGGAGCAGGAAGGGTTGGAGTTGCCTGCAGAAGGGCAGCAAAGGCACTTCACATCAGTCCCACTGCTCCTTCCTTTGGGCATGTGTGTATGTGAGTAACTCCCTTCTGTGAGAGCTGAGCTTCCTGTGGGGTGCAGCTCCTTCTCTTCCAGCACTAACAGCAAGCTGCTCTTGGGAAGCTCCAGCTAGCCCACTGTTTGTCCAAGTAATTGTTTTCATAGTCAGGGAAGAACTCTGATACATTTCTGCCCACTAGAAATTAATGGATAAGATTTACTGAAACTATATATAAGACCAGGTTAAAGGAAAGAAAAATCTTAGTATCTCTTTGCTTGTTGTGGATTTTTTTCCCTTGGAAGGTGGGACTCCCACTGCTAGAGCTAGTCAAAACTAGAGGTGGGGGAAGAAATACCGTAGAGCAGATAGTGTGGAGGCTAGTGAAATCAGTGGGTGCTAGCAGGGCTGCAGAGCTCGTGATCAAACGTTGGAGAGTGCTGAAAGGGAGGGACTAAACAGGTTGTCAGTCAAGTGTTTCCTCCACCATGAGGTCTGTGCAAGAGGGAGGTGCAGGCTTGTGTGTGAAGCCTTTTGTGTCTTGCAATTTTGAGGCACCATCTTTCAAAAGTGAGAGCTTATGTCCTTAACACAGAAAAAGCCTAACCCAGAGGGAAAAGACTTTTCTGTCCCTTAGTTTTGTCCATCTCTCCCTCCCTTCCCCTGTGTAAAACACTAAGCCCTTTGAAGGGTATTCATCTTAGCAGAATAGCTTTTTCCCTCTCTAAAGAGGTGATTGTGTGGGAATGCTCCAGAGACAACTGGTACAATTTTGCTTTGAGATAAGTGAGGCAGGAAGAGGAGTTAAACTGCTCTGGTCGAATGCACAATGAGCCTTTTAATGGACTTTGCTGTAACAATTTGGGTTTTTTCTCTTTTCCTTTGATGCTGCTGCTAAGGAATGTTTAATTGTTCCCTTTCAGATGCTGTTGAAATTATTCCTGGGTCAGCTTCTAGTGCCTCCTCCATAAGCACAACATCCCTGGATACTTTGTACACTGCTTCTTCTGTATCTGAGACTGCTCTCCCAACAGCCACCTCCAGTCCTGCCAACACTCCACCCCCTGTCCCGAGCCGGAGTGTCCACACCACAATCACACGCAATTTGGACAGCGGCTCTGTCACCCATTCCCGTTATGGGACTTCCTCAAAGGATACCAGCAAATCTCCCCAGTCCAAGAGGGTTGCCCCAGCACCGCCAGCTGAAGGGGGGACCCTGAGGTCCCACAATGTGGATGGGGAGAAGACTTCTCAGGTAAAGAAAACTGCCCCACCCCCCCCTGCAAGTCTGGATGCCTTCAGCAACCTCTGCCTGGAGGATAAGAAGGCAGCTGGGGTGGAGTCGCTGTCAGCAGAACCCAGTGGCCTGGTGGCCTCTGTACCCAAGACAATTGGTGCTGAACTGATCGAGCTGGTGCGCAGGAACACCCACCTCAGCTACGAGCTGTCCCGTGTGGCCATTGGCATTGTCATCGGCCACATCCAGACCTCTGTCCCCGCAACCAGCAGCATCATGGAGCAGATCCTCATCTCCGTGGTGGAGAGTAAGGTAATGTGTGTGAGGCTGGAGGGGGCACTGCTGCACACCATCTCCGAGCATCGAGGATGAAGTGTTATGAGCTCCTGATGTTTGGGATGAGAATGCAGCAAGATCCCACAGGGAAAGGTGCTAGATGAGGGTAAATGTCCAGCCAGGGGAGCCAGGGATTTAAGCCAGGTCCTTGCACTGTTAGCAGAGAAATGGAAAACGAGCGAGTTTATTCCCCAGATGAGCTGCAGATGTACAACATAACCTTGAGTTGGAGCATTAGCTTGAGCTTGTTCTAAATAAACCTTATGTCAAAATAGTCCTATATTTCTCCTTCTGCATCAGTCATTGAAATGGTGAATTGCACCTTTGCACCTCTGCTTTAGCTGGAAGGATAATAAATTTCAGCTCCCACTTGCTCAGTGCAGCCCTGAGGAGTGTGCATCATATAAACTTCTAAGATTGGAATTCCATTGCTAATGGCAAGGTTATAATGAATTGTTCAGAGGCATTTTAATATGGAGAACTAATGACATTCAAATTTTACATCAAATCGTAATCTGGTTGACTGTTTGCACTGAATAGAGGGCCCCATAAGCAATCATCAAGTATTTGGTTGTGGCCATAACCCAGTAGTTAATTGCTTCCTTCTCCAATAACAGTGCCCTGTCAATTTGTGATTTAGATTTAGCAAAAAAATTCAGCTGTTTCAAGCAAATGTTCTGGCTCTGTCTTGCATGATGAGAAGTTCAGTTTTCTGTTTTTGCACCTTGTCCAAGATTTGGATATTATTTTTATCATTAATACCTGTACTCAGGATACAATAAACTTAATTCCACAGAAGTTATTTAGTGACAGGTTTCTGTGTAGGGGATTTGAATGCTTCAGTTTCATGGCCATTGCTGCAGACCAGCCTGAAAAGGATGGGAAGAAAGTGATGATGGTGCAAGGAGGAGTATGGATCTTCTGGTAACTGCTGATATCTGTCATCTAGGACATCTGTGGGATTTTAAAATGACCAGTAATGTATGGAGACACAGCAGAAGATTCTGTCCCATCTCATAATACCTCATCATACCTATCTTGAGCAGTACTGCTTTCAGGAGAGCCTGGATGAACACAGTGCTCAGGTGTCAATTTTGTGGATCTGGTGTGCATTTTTTCTTGGCATCCCACACAGCTGATATAGCTCTGCTGATATGTGGGGGCCTGGTCCCAGCTGAGGTTGTTCATCTGGTATAGAAGACCAGCTCTAACAGTTGGAAGGGTGGTCATGTGTCCTTGTGGGGTGGCTGCTCTGCCGTGGCTTCACTGGTGTGGTTTAGTGGTACAAATTATTTTTGTTGACTTTATGTTGTTCGTTATACCAAATCATTCCACTGTCTCAGGGGTTTCTGTGTACAATTGTTGCTGAGTTGTCAGTTCTAGGTCAAGGACTTTTTTTCTTTAATTTGTAGCTTCTGAAATCCCTCTACTCCCCAGTCTATGCAAGTACATGGGTAACTCATATCCTGTATATTTTTCAAGGCTTTTCTTTGACTCCCTAAAACAGAGATAGCAGCTTTGATTTAAAGCTTTGGTCTGCTCATAGTAGACGCCATACCTGCTTCAACCTTTTGTATCATGTTCTTTAATTAGTTTTATCCTTTCTATTCCTATTCCAGTCTTAATTTAAAGTTAGCTCACTAAATCAAGTCCAGAATCTATTACCTCACTTCTATCCTCAGTGCCTTCTGAAGGTTGAATAGTACTTCAATCTTACTTACCTTGCTGCTCCTCCAGTGCGGAGTCTGTACAGACATATTTTTTTTTTTAGAGAATAAAAGATCCTGGAACAGCATCCTGCTGCTGCTTTTGAAGAGGTAATGTAAGACTAAGTTGGGGGAACAATAGAGACAAGGAGGATGCTGAGAAGATCACATCTTGGGAAAGATACTTCAGAGGTACCATACTATTTGGGGAACCTTGATCTGCAGGAGTCAATCTGTCAGGTTGGCTTTCCTGTGTCAGCATTTGCCTGGCTTTGGAAATGGTCCCTCTTCTTGTCTATGAGCTAGCTCCTGATAAATGTCACAGTGACTGGGTAAGATGCACAAAGGGACTGAAACCTCTTTTCAAAGGCAGCATTGCAGTGACTGTCTAAACTGGAGCCGGCTTTCATGGGACCTCATTGGAAATGTGGACATGCATAAAGATGGTCCCTGGTCTTTGGGCTTCTAGAGAATCACTTGGATTAGTAGGTTTTGGTGATATGTGATTGCCTTCAGCTCTGTTGGATTATCTCCTGTCTGAGAGGAAGGGATGTCATGTACTGTAGATGTCATGTCTAAGGAGGTTGAGTTTTGCAGATTTATTAGACTTGGGGTGAAACAACCAGAAGTGCCCAACGTTCAAGGTAGCTGCACCTTGAAAGGGAGAACTTGGAAACCACTTACCTGCTTTTTACTAAAGTCGCATTGCTGTGTTGTAGTTGTGACTCAGACCCATCTTCTTGTTGCCTTAAATTTAAGCTTGAAGACTGCTGACAAAGATGTATTATGTAGATTGGTCTTCTAGTTGAGCCCAGGCTGCCAAGTGGGGTCAGACTATTGCTGGATGTGTTGGAGATGGAAGAACAAATCAGAAAGTTGGTGTGGGAGGTGATGTGTTTCTGGAGGGCGTTTCCCTTGTAGTGCTGGGCTGTGACCTACTCCCTGCTGCCCATCACTAGCACCTGTTGCCCTCAACAAGCTCTGACAAACCTCTAATGTGTCTGAAACTGTCTCCTTCCCCTGAAGCTGCCTTCCTGTGCATTCATTGATCCAGCTTTGCTTAAAGGAGACTTGGTTTTGACAAGACATGAAGGCTGTTCCGGGGCTCAGCTTCTCTCTGGGGGAGCTCTGCCAGAGACAAGGGAAGGTCAGCAGGGTGAGTGCTTTCCAGGCCGAGTGCTTTGGCTGGGCTGTTAGGGACTCCTCAGTGAAATAGTGTAACAAAAAAACCCTGCTATATGATTTTGGGGCTCATCTGGAGGGAAGATGTGTGTACCCATGGTACTAATGATCCACTGCTCTTGCTGGTGGGGTGCAGGGAGAGAGGCATGGGAATGGGAAAAGAAGAAATGGCCAGGACAGCAGCTGGGTTTGCATGGCAGATATGGCCACCTCTGAGCAGTGTGGGCATGATAAAGTTCCCAAAGTGGTTTTGGGCTGCTTAGGAAGAATGAAATCCCTGTAGCAGCTTGTTCTGCTGGGCTGGGGTCAGAGAACTATTTGAAGCAGCAAGATAATGCAAAGTGGCATTGTTAGAAATGCTGAAACCTCCTTCTGCTTATGGGGTCCCCAGCAGATTCCTGGAAGTGACCATGTGATGATGCTGCAGGTTGTAGCAGCTGCCAAAATGTTTAATAAGCAGAGACCTGACTCTGGTGATGGGAGGGCTGAGATGGTGCTGAAAGTGCACTGAGACAGTGCAAGGTGTAGCTACATGGTCAGATGGAAGAGCTTGTTAATGGATTGATCTCATCCAAGTCCATCCAAGCTTGATGCTCAGTGGAGTCATTAAGGGCTGCAGATGAAGGATTGGAGAAAGTAGATTAGTGGTAAGAGGCTGAATAGAGTGATCATTAAAATGAATACTCATTAAAATGATTATCCAAAAAGAGTCCCAGCAGTGAATTGAGGTAGGACTGGCCCTGCAGTGCTCCAGTGAGAGGGATGTAAGGCACATAATGCAGAACCCTCTCCCAGGCAGCTGGGGAGGGACAGGCAGGACAGGCAGGTGACAATGCAGTGCTGTAGGTCCTCCTAAGGAGAAGCAGGGGGATGGCAAGATGAAGTGAGTATCTTAATGTATTTGCTTCTGATAAATCTCTATTCAGAGGGAAATTCTCATGCTTGTACTCAGCTCCTGAAAGCTGTTGTGCTCTCTCACAGCTGGCTACTTGCTTTTCTGCTAGGCCATCCACAGCTTCCCAAAATTTCAGGAGTGTACAGAGGCTTGTGTTAAACTTGCATGCTTCTTCCTTCATTACCTGCCTGACAAAAATGATGTAAAAAGCAGTAACAAGAAAACTTATTTATTTTATAACTGAAGCATGGACTTGAAGTCCTAAATTGATTTATACCCCAAAGCAAATGACTAACAATTCTGTCTCTAATAAATCAGGCAAGACATTACTGTTAAATGTGGAGTGGTTTCCCCAGAGAGGGCTGGAGGGTGGGAGATAGGCAGGAAGGGTGCAGCTGCTGCACTTGGCCATCCACATGTGGATGTCACAGCTGGCACAAGACATGGGCTCATGTCTCCACACAAAATCTATCTGCTCTGCTCCCAAAGTGAAGTCTGCCTAAAGGCTTGCTGCCCCTGCCTGCACAGCCAGCCTGTTGGAAGGACTGAGTCTTCTCTGAGATTCCAGATGTCCTGGCTGGTAAGTTATAAAGGCCTTTTCTCACTGAGTGGTCATGACTTGTTGCTGTATGTGGTAGGACAGACTCATCCAAAAAGTTTTAGGAATTTGGTCTCAGTGAGTGGGTTTTCCCTGTTGTTTGAATTTCTCAGCTTGGTTCTCTTGCACCTTGCTGATCTCCTGCTGCTTGTTGTCACTGCTTGTGTATATAATTTAAGCTCTTTCACAAATTAGTCCTTACCTTTCTTAATGGTGCCTGGGCTCATCTGTGATCAGCTCAGTTCCATGTACTGAACCCCCCCTTCTTGCCTTGTTTTTAGGAAACCAAGTGATTCATGTGATATACTTAGGTCCTAGAGGCTTATCCTAAATCCCAGAGCACAGCAGCTCCTCAGGCAGGTCAAATGCCCCCTCACCACTCCCCTCTTTCTTGAAGGAGAGGAAGAGTAAAGGAAAGGCAACTGAAGAGTGAGACCTCCATGGCAGGGGTTGTGTGTGAGGCAGAAGTGGTGGGGATGCAGTTGACAGCAGTTTGAGAAAGGAATGTGTGCAGTAAGATTTACTGAGTGGCTACACACTTCAGAGCTGTGGTGAGCAGTGGAGCTCTGCTATTTAGGATGAAGCAAAACCAAAGCAGCCCTGATGAATTGGTTCCTGTTCTTGCTGCAGAGGATCCAGGCCTAGAGCAGCTGGCATGGAGAGCACCATACAAGTCCCTGCTCTTGAGCCAAGAATTCAAGGCAGATCTGTCCCTTTCAGGCTGCAGGGAATGGGCAGCAGAGGGAACTTCTCCTGCCTCAAGGCAGCTGTGCAGTGTGGTGGTCTGCTGTCCAGAACATGTCTGTTTTATTGGGGGTGCTCAGCTGCTGCCTGGCAGTGGTCCTGGCCCATACCAGGCTAGTTTGGCTTTTCCCATTCTCAGGATGATTTCCAGAATCTAGAGAGTAGACTCCAGAAATAGGAGATCTGAAATAACGTGTGTCATAAACTTACTGGTTTTGTACTGCCAGCTCTTGACTGAATGAGGTCAGCTGCCAGTCGTGAGACAAGATTGCAGGCACCCAAACAACAACCAGCTGTCAGGGCCTCACTAACCAGTGGTTTTGCTGTCATGCAGAACCTGAGTGCGGGGCTGCCCTCGGGCCAGATCTGCCATGACGAGCAGCGGCTGGAGGTGATCTTTGCAGATCTGGCCAGGCACAAGGATGATGCTCAGCAGCGCAGCTGGGCACTCTACGAGGATGAGAATGTCATCTGCTGCTACCTGGAGGAGCTGCTTCGCATCCTGGTGAGTAAATTCCTTTCTTTACAGGCAGAGCAGAGCAGACAGCACTGGTGAAGTTCTTTTTTTTGACCTCCTTCATCCCTGTGTTGCCACTGGATCTGCTGTTTCAGGGGCACAGGTTTCTTGTGCATCCTTTACTGTCAATAATCCCTGCTCTGTGGGCTCTGCAGTGCCCTTGAGCTGCCTTTACTTTCCATTCCCCTTTCAGAGCTGTTCTGAAAAGCATTACTGAGCTGTTCATGGTAGTTTTGGTATTTACCTATCATAAGAGGATATAAACCCTCACCTCCAAAAAACCCAACCTCCCACAGAAAACTTGCAAGTCTCTGGTAAGGGTCGTTGCACTCCTGAGCCCATTTAAAACATCTTCCACTTAAGATATCCTCTGTTGCTGGGAGGTGCCTGTGGGGTTAAGCTCATTAAATGCGAAGAACATTCTTTGGTTGCCTTGAAAGTGAGCTTTAAAGCTGTTTCTGTGAAAAGTATAAATCATCTCACACATCTCTGCATACAGGAGAGGAGCATGCCCATAGTGAGCAGCAGTGGGATTACTGTCCCAGCACTCTCACTCGTATGTACAAGTCTGTCTTTGTCTGGGGATGACTTGGGAACTGCCCTCAGTGTAGTGAATAGTCTGTGTTAGGGATACTGATGTGGGGTTTGCTCTGACACTATTTTATAGTCCCCTCCAGTTCTGACATAAACAGAAGAGATAAATTTCCTGTAATAAATGCCAGGGTCTTTGTCACTCCACATACAGCCTGTGCTGCCTTGCTGCAGGCCTGCAGGGCAAGGCTGGGTGGGGTTTTGTGAAACCGTTTCCTTATAATTTAGGGGTGGGAGGAGATGTACTTCTCAGGATGGGAGCAGTGCTGGAGCTGCCCTGTGTAACTGTGTGATGCTCTCAATCAGGTGGTGTTTGGGTCATGTTTTAGATATCTTCAGCCCAAGATGTGCTCTATGGTGGAGAAGTTTCTCAAGAATCCACTTTGATGGTGAAGGGTGATGATGAAGGGTGATGGTTCTTGACCTGTTTCTGTGCTCTGCCTTCAGTTTCTTTGTGAGGTGTTGGGGCTACTGAGATCTGAAAGCAAGTGGACTCCCTTGAGGTCCCTGCAGCAGGCACCTTCTGCTTTGATGTGTCATGGGGTTACCTTTCCATTCCTTCTTCCAGACAGATGCAGACCCAGAAGTTTGCAAGAAAATGTGCAAGAAGAATGAGTTTGAATCTGTCCTGTCCCTTGTGGCATATTATCAGATGGTAAGGTAGCAGAATGCACCAAATCTCTTTTTAAGATTTCCCTGAAGATGCAAAAGGGTAGGGTTGGTACGATGAATGTATATAAGATGTTTCCCTTGGGTAGAGCAGTTCTGTGGTCTCACTGAAATTGCAGCATATCCCTTTTGAGTGCTGGCTAATGTCAATGCTATGCATGAAAGTTGTGTGAAAGAGCAGAGGATGCTGTAGACTTTGAAGCAGTAGCTAGCACTTGGCTAGGGTATAGCTTGCTAGAGGAAGGATTTCAGAGGATGCCTTGGGAGATCTGACAGGCTGTGATTGCTCTTCTTTTAATTGATGCATTCCTGCACATTAGTAAATAACTTTGCTTAGGAAAGTAGGTAGTGAGTAGAAGAAGCCTTGGGAGTGAGGAAGGAAATCAGTATTTAGGGAAGAAATGGAAGTTTTGCCTTAAACACCTATGTAGTTTGCAAACAAAGTGTTTTGTAGTAGCAAAACAAAGTGTTGCTTTGCCCCTCTCCTTCCTGGAATGTTCTGTTATAGGACTCTGTGGGAGTAAAAAACTTGTCCCTAAGTCCCCAGCTACAGCACATCAAGTCTTGTGACATTTTTGCTTCTATCTGGCACTTCTGTGTCTGAACCCAGATCTCAGCATCAGGAGGCTGTAGTACAGCTGAGAGCAGCAGGAAGGCAGGGTGAGCATAACACTGCCTGCTCTTCTCTGACCACAATTCCAAGCAGGTAGGGAGCAGTTGTGTGTCCTGTCCTGGCTGCTGTCATGCCCAGTGCTAGGGCTTGGCTCACTTGAGTTGGCTGAACCCTGGAGTTGTTGGCTGAGAGTGGAGTATGCAGATTACCTCAGTGTCGGAGCTCCTGCATGGGAGGTGCAGGCTGAGCATCATCTTTGCTGGAATCCTTGCATGTCCCAAAACTTTCTGAAGGGAGCTTGCAAATGTTATCTTGTCAAGAAACCTTAATCAGAGCAGTGTTCACAAAACCTTAGTATGCTCAGAGAATCCTGGCTACCCAGCACATTCAGTCTTTTTGCTGGGGATAGGTATGGGTTGTTGGTGTATTTAAACCCAGATTTAGTGGATGATGTGGGACATCGCAGATCTGAGCTCTGGCTGCCACATTCCCTCTGACCACACATGCCAACAACCCATAGCCAGCCCAATTGTGAATGTTATTGTAAAGTGATTCCTGTACTGTTGTTAAAAGCTTTTAGAGCTTCTGGTTTCATGTCACCCTGGGAAGGTCTGTGGCTTCCCACCAACAGGAACTTCTAGAAGCTGTGTCTCTGCCCTCACAGAGGAGTGAGCCCTCCTCTAGGACATGGTTTGATCTAACAAATTGGTTTTGCAGGAACACAGGGTGCCATTGCGCCTGCTGCTGTTGAAGTGCTTTGGAGCCATGTGCAACTTGGATGCTGCCGTTATCTCAACGCTTGTGAATTCTGTGCTGCCGATGGAGCTGGCCCGGGACATGCAGACTCACACACAGGGTGAGCCAGAGCTGCTGTTCCACGGCCCTGGGAATGTGTCTTCCCATTACAGGATTTGCAGCAGCAGCAGTGGCCCCCCATTGCCTGGCTGCTCTACATGCCCAGTGCTCAGGGGGGAATGGTGTCTGCCTTTAAAATTAATCAGGTTATTCCAGCTGTAACTGAGGAATGTGCGGGAAGGGATGTTTCAGTCCAACGGTGTGAGGCCCTCCAGCTCTTGAACATGCCATTAATGATCTGTGTCACTTCTTGTAGATGTCTTAAAACACGTTTTGAGTTGTTCCAGTTTTGTTTCATAGTGCTGACAAGAGACACCTGCAGATCTCAAGGAAGATCTCTGCAATTTCTTAAAGAGTTTTTTCCAGCATTCTGTACCAAATTTTTGTGGTGTTTCATTGTGGTGAATGAAATGAGTGCTTGTTAAAGGAAAGGGCCTTCTCTCCACCGTGTGCCAAGAGAGATGGTAGTGCTGTAGTTAGCACTGCAGCCCTGATCCTCTGCAGGATAGTGCCATGGCCCAGGTTTTCCCAGCTCTTTGCTTTCCATACTCAGGCTTTGCCCTCATGTTTCTTCTACTTCACACTCCTCCATTTGTTAGGATGACCTTTCTACTAATCAGAATGTTCTTCATGCACTCAGAGCTCCTGCTTAGCCCAGTCTCCTTTATTTCCAAGCAGCCAGAAGCAGATGCTGGGAAAAAGCCTAAGAGTAAGGTGAACATGTAGTAATACTCCCCTGGCATTATCTTCCAACTCCCCACACGTGCCTGGTCCTGGACAGTCACAGATTTGCTCCCCATTTTGAAGCCAACTTGTAGTTCACCAGTGCTGGCAGTGGCATATTTCTCTTAAAAAGACATTGAAAATCCATTGTTTTGTTCTAATTGTGACCCACAATTAGAGTAGCTGTTGGGTGATCACACGGATCAAATGAGAAGAGCCTGGTGTTCACAGCCTTGCTGCCCTGGTTGCAGTCTGTCAGTTTGTTATGTGTGTCATGAAGCTGTGGAGGGGTATAATTTGGTGATGAGATTGTCTAGGGGTTGACAGGTCTTGCAGAGAACAGGGACTGTCCCATGCATTTCCTGTGAGCCAAGTAAATGTCCTAGATGACCACTTTGAACCTGCATAATAGACGTTCCTGTCCCCAGCATCCCACCACAGCCTGCCAATCTGACTGTGGCAGGCAGCATTAAAAGGGCTCATCTCATGTCTGGAAGGGGCTACAGGAGATGAAAATCAAGCCTGTGGCAGAAGGCTTTGCACTTGTCTCTGTTTAGATGCTTTGAAGTGCATGCATTTCAGAGGTGAGGAGAGTGGCATTTCAGGGCAGGGTGAAGGGCTGGTGGTGTGGGACTGCAAGTATTACTCCTGTGTTGGCTACACTTCCTATTTTGTTCCTGCTGCTTGTAAGTTCTGTGCTGTGAGATTACCACACTGTTGGTGATATGCCTGAGAAGCATCTTCTCCAGGCTGAGGTTTTACTGCCCAAGAAGCAAATGCTGCTTGGTTATGAGACTGACTGTGCTCCTGCAGCAACACTTCTCCTAATTTTGTGCTGCCAGAAATAAACTTTATTGTGCCTCCACCTTTCATTCACAAAAACAGTCTTCAAGTGAGCATCCTGTGCACCTTCCCAAACAGGATTCTGTCTCCTGCCCTGTTCCTGAGCTTTTTGCAGGCTGAGTAGACTGGTCACTCTTTTTACTCCTTGCCTGGTTTCAGTGATGCTGCATTTTGCCTGGGGCTGTGTCATCCCAGACAGCACAGCTGATTCAGCCTCTTGGCGGGTATGGAGCTTTGAGTTCTGACCTTTGTGACTTCTGCACACCTCTGCTGATCTCCAGGTAGTACTGGAGCAGGCCTGTCTCTCAGCAAGTCTTAGCTCTGCTTTGGGATCCTAAAAGTATGGCAGTGGAAGTGGGTGAGAAGTGTCTCTGCTGTGTCCTCTGAGCTGCCAACCTGCAGCTCTGCAGCATCTCCCTTTCCCTAGCATCATCTCAAGGTGAGGATTTTTTCCTTCCTTGGTGTGAGGTGGTCCAGTTGGAATGCTACTCCTCCTTTGCTGACAGACCACTGTGTAGATGCAGGAGCCTCACAAATCAGTGTCCTCATCCTGTGCTGCTTTCCTTGTGCTAAGCTTTATGGTAGGCATAAATGCCATTGTGCAATGGCATCTGTGCATCATCCAGTCCTCTCAGCCTTCACAGTGGGGCTGCAGCAGGGGTAACCATACTTGGCCCAAATGTGTCTGTCCTTCAGAGGTGTTTCAGGGCATTAGTAGTTCCCTCCTGCCATTCTGGTGCTTTACTGCTTCATGTGCTGCCAGCAAATGGCAAGCTTGTGTGAAAACATGACCTTGAATCCTAGCATGACTTGAGCTTATTTTGGTACTAGAAACTGGGGAATAGCAGCTGATCCATGACATGCTGTGGAATAGCTAATCCCTTCTGTGGGTGACTGGAGCCAAGAGCAGTCAGTGCCAACACTACACAACTGGGGAGTGTGGAACTGGCTGCAGCAGCTCTATGGGATCTCTCCTGGCTTATTATTGAAGAGCAGCTGAGGCAGAAGCTTGGTCTGTGAATGCTGTGTGCCTTTGGTGAGAAGGACTTTACCCTAGGACTGATGCAGGCATGTTGGCTGCTGGCCAGTTCTTCTGCAGATGTTTAGGTCTTACTGCTTCTGAACAGCTCCTTCCCTCTGCTGCAGCTGGCCTGCACATCTGGCCATGTTAGAACACCTTATAATAAGCCACAGCAAAACAGAATTAGCCAGAACAGTTCCAAAGAAAACAGACTGGGATAATCCAGTCTATAATCATGACTTTCTCCCTTGTTGCAGCACAGTTTACATGCAAGTCAGCTGTCTTCTCCCTTCAGTCATAGATAATTGTGTCTGCTCCCAGTGCCCACATTTCACACTGTTGTGTTTAGAAGGTGGAAGCAAGGTTTTCAAAGGCCTCTGAGAAATGCTTTTCATACATGATTGCAGTTTCTCACAACTATCTCAGTAGACTTCAGCAATGCAGGCTGGTAAGCAAACAGCTGTATCTCTCCTGCCTGTCATGGCTACTTCAGTGATGCTTCTCAGTCTGTTGTCAGCAGTCCCTCTGCTTCAGCAGAGCTCCATTGATACTATTTAATTTCTGACAGCCACTGGTACTGCTCTGTAAGGTAGAAAAGAAAAAAAAAAAAAGACTGTGTTTTGACTGACAGTTACTCTATTCTTCTGCATTGTAAGTCTTGGAGTCTTGTCCTGCTGCAGCTGGGACACTCCCAAAAGCTTGTAGAGCCTGTGCAGGATGAGTGTCCTGGGTTAATCTGAATTTGCCTCAAGTTCAGGTTTCTGGTTGGTTTCAGCATTTTTTGATTTGTTGTCTTTAGGGAAATACAGCAAGAGTTGGCTCCTAGTCATGTAGACTACTGTCAACCAAGATGAATGGACATCAGTTAATGGCAGATGGACCAAGGAGGTATAAAACTAGTCTCATCCCTCCCATGTCTAGTCTGTTCTTCCATATTTGCTACTGTCATTTTTATCACTGGCTTCTGGATCTCAGTTTATTTCATTGCTCCTGATGTGATGAGAGCAAATGTTTTGTTGACAAAAGGAAGCCTTTCTAGGAACATGAGAACAGCAGCTCCCTGTCTGCCTACTGCAGTGTCTTGCTTCTGAGACCCAGGTCCTGTAGCCATGGAGGAAAGAATGAAAAAATCATGTGGTGAACAGTTTGCCAGATCCTTTTTCTGCTACAGTGTGCTTTGGCATCACTGTCACCTTATAGCTGAGAACTTCTTATATAAGAAGTGTGAATTATATTTAAATCGTTTAATATCCTCCCTCTCTGTTTACGGAGAGTAAACAGCAGTTTTCAGCCTTCATTTGCTGCCACATGGTCTACAAACTCTTAATCTTGTTCATACTGTAGTATCTGGTTAAGCTGCAAATTACCTACTTTTACTCAAAGTACTTGCCAATTGAAAACTGGCGTCGTGTGGAACTGTGACAGTGTGTGTGCTTTGAGTGGAGAGGCTTTGCTGTCAGAGCTGACTTTGCAGGGGCCATGGGGCTGGAATGACTCAGTAGCACTTTGTCCCCCATGCTGACAGTAAACCTGAGACCTGCCAAATCTTGCAAGTCCTTTGGCCAAAGCCAGGAGTAAGTGATGACAGTGAAGGCATCAGCCTGAGCAGTCAAAGCCAAACTGCAGGGTGCAGATGCTTAGAGATGGGTTGGTTTGTGCATGGAGAAGTGAAATATCTTAAAGGGTTTGGAAGGGGCACTGGAAGTGGTGTGTGTTGTGCAGGGCTGAAGAAGTATGGCCAGGAAAAGCATTGTAGATTGAAGGAGCCTTTTTCTCCTCTGATGAAAAGTAGTTTTGGTCAGTTTTTCATATTTACACCTTCAGTTTCCTTGTGCCCCAGGGCTCTTTCTGGTAGATGTAGCTGAACTTTATTTACCCAGTATGTGTGGTAACCTATATATAATAATACTCATTTTTCCTATTGCCTTTAGACTTGCTGAACTGGACAGAGGCTACATTTGATGAGGGCACAGATCCTATTCCATGATTTTTATTTTTTTTTTTGTTCTGCAATTATCTATTAAGAGGTATCCATTAATTAAAATTCAGAAAAGACACTGTCAGGGGTTCTTTGGAGTATTCTCATATAGCTGCTGCCAGCGAAAATTATGTTGGACTAGCAGGCTGTGGGATGTATCAGTGCTGGAGATGTGTGGCCTGGGAGGTGGGCAGATGCACAGCCTGAGCAGTGATCTGGTCTCCCCAGGGACCTTTTATACCTTCAGGCAGAGCTGAGGTAGCAAAAGTAGAGCAGTGCAGAGATGGTAACAAGCAGCATGGCTGTCTGGGGGTGGTGTTGGTTGGAACAGGCAGTATTTTGAGCTGGCCAGATGGATGCTTTTTCTGGGTTCAATAATTACATAACTATGGGATGTGTCCTGGGACTGTGCAGGGGAGGTTTTTAATTATTCAGATCAAGTTTGCCCAGATCCTCTGAAGTGGAGGGGAAAAAAATAGAGGACTCTTGTTATGATTATTTTTAAATTGCTTTGGAAACACATGGCAGAGAAGGCGTGTGGTGTGCTAAAATGGGGAAAAACACCCTTACTGCTCAGTCAATACAGGAGTGAGGAGAAGGTTAATCAGTGTTAAATGCGTGTATTAAATGTGTTAATTTCCCCTGCTGCAGCTGGGGAAAGGTTTCACATCCTCAGAAGAACTAATGACAGGACCTTTGTCTTGCAGATCATCAAAAAATGTGTTACTCTGCACTGGTGCTGGCCATGATGTTCTCCATGGGGGAGCCCCTGCCATACCACCACTATGGTAAGATTGGGTTGTGCTCCTCGCAGAGCTGGGGGTGGGATGTCTGGGGCGTGCTGGCAGACATGGGGAAGGGACTATTCCTGAGAGTCAAGGTGGGGGACATCTCAGTGACCCAGCCAGAGTAGGATGTGTTCTTAATTGATAGATTCTGGCAGCTGAAGCACTGGGCTGAGATGCCAGATTTCCAAAGAGCAGCAGAAATCTGGGTTAGAGCAGTGGAGGACTGAATGCCACACTGCAGGTGACACGGATTTGCCCATCCCTGTGACTAAGTGGCATTTGGTTTTACCTCTGGCCTGTGTGAAAGCACACACCTCTTACTTTCTTTGGAGACTGTCTGCTGATGAGACTGAGATCCCAGATCCCTGCACAAACACCCACTAAGGCTGTCAGCTGCATAATGTGGCCTCTTTCTGGTCTCTCTTCTAGCAGGATAGTGCAGCCCTCTGTAGTTCAGGCTCTTAGGGAAAGTGGAGATGATTAAGGGTACTGCAGTCAATAACAAAGTGCAAATATTCTCCCTGTTTTATCCTCTGTCATTCTATTTCAGCCAGAAAGTACTGCCCACTTCTTCCCAAGGATATGTTGTATTTGGGAAATTCTGGGCTTAATTTTACTAGAAAGGCAGTAGAGACTTTTTTAAGTGTCTTGTCAGCAGCTTTACCTTAACACCGGGTAAACCTGTACAAGATTTAAACTGGTGCAGTAGAGACTGGAATGAGCCTCTATGCCTCCTGTTTTCCTCTCCCTGTGTAACCCTGTCAGTTATTTCCTGCAGGTGGACTTATTTACATGAACTCCTGAGCTTTCCTAATAGCTGAATTGAAAACTGGGTTATTACTAATGATCTAGATTTTTAGTTGTTTTTTTTTTTTAAAGAGAGCAATTAAACCAGTGGTCAAGAACACCAATCTCTTTCTACCTTGAAGCCTTCACTGGTGGCATTGGTTCTGCAACAGCTAGAATAGAATTTGGTGTTTTGTTTACTCAAAAAAAAATGCCAGTAGGGGTACCAAATTTCAGCAATCCCCCTGTGCTGTGTCTCACACAAAGATGCTTCAGTGGTCTATGTGGTCCACTTGAAGAGCCCTTCATTCCCTGAATGAAGGGCTCTTCAAGTGGACTAGACAAACCACTGAAGCACTCCACCAGTGTTTTTTAAGCATGAAAGAAGTGGCTTGGGTGGTCCCTTGTTGCTTGGTTTATTTTCACTGTGCTGTAAATGCCCCTTTCTCCTTGTGCAGAACATCTCAACTCTCAGTTTGTGCAGTTCCTGCTGGATGTGATTGAGGACGGGCTGCCCTCGGACACCACTGACCAGCTGCCTGACTTATTTGTCAACGTCCTTCTGGCCTTCAATCTCCACATTCCAGGTTAAATTGAGGCTGCTGTGCCATGGCAGGATTTCAGTGGTGTGGAGTGAGAGTGTGAAAAATGAGGAGGGAGAATCTCACTGGGTCTTGTTGGTGCTGTAACCACCAACCAGCTCTCCTAGTCTCTGGCACTACACTGTGTTTAAATATGGCACAAAACCCTAGAGGTAAAAATGGTCTGAGAGCCCCTGCCCAGCAGCTCTGGACAGCTCAGTGGATTTGTCACTGGGTTTCCACAGTGCTCAGTCAAAAGAGTTGTTGGGCTGTACTTGCAGAGCATGAATGGGGTTAATTTATAGGGTCAGGTGACTTGGGAGAGAAGATGCTTCAGTGGGCATTTCTTGATACCAATTCAGAACAAGAGTCCTCTGCCTTCTGCCAGTCTTGGCAAAGCTTCTGCTTCTCTGTCCATGCTGCCTGAAGCTCATGGTGCCAAGTTGTTCAGGCCAGGCCCTTCAGCATTGGCCTGAGCTGTGCTCTTGCCCCTTTGCCCTTGTTCTTTGTCCTCCCTGCCCTGCTGAGCTCCATGAGGACAGACAGCAGATCAGGTCCTTAGTGAAGAAGTCCTTCCTTCCCTCTGCCTGCACATTTTGAAGCCTGTTGGAAGATGGGAGTGTAGTTCCAGGTCCTGCTAAGAAAGGTCATTCCTTAACCCAGTTTCCTGTTGCTCCAATTGTATTTAGTTAATTACTTACTCATGATCTGCTTCATGACATTATCCTTGATTTTTTTTGAGAGAGGGGAGGATAAAACAGCAATGATATGTCCAGTAATTTACCTGTTATTTTGCATTGTCCGTCATTAAAATTTATGCAAAAGTTTCTAATTTCATGTGAAAGTTGATTGCACGGAGACTGATTAAGTATATCTCTGCTGCTTTCATTCATTACTCCTTCCCACACGTACCCAGATCCTTGCTGGCTGCAGTAATTAGGCAGTAATGCATGACAGGCAGTGTGTTTCTGGGGATTATTGGCCACCTGGGGCATAGCTGAGAGCAGTGACTTTTTCTCTGATGCTAAGAACACGTTAAATGATGTTCACATTACATATTGGTGGATTGAATTTTTATCCCTGTGTCTGCATGATTCATCTATCATGCCATTCAGTGGTGCAGCATTACTTCAAAAACTCTCCTAAATGCGTATTATATTGACACCCTTCAGGATCCTGAAACGCTTTGCAGCCTGTGAAGTACTACAGGCCACAGAAACAGCCACACTGTGCTTATGTGTGGCTATTTCTGTGTTTATGTGATTGAGTGTGCACACTCACACACAGATAAACCAGGGTAAATGCATTTTACAGCAAATCACTCTCAGAGCAGGCAGGGGGACAGTTCCTAGAAGTCCTCAGCCTGTACCTTTGCACTGCACAGTGCTGAGTGCTGGGAAGAACTTTTCTCTTCTGGGATGCTCCTGGGACCCTTCTTAAGAGAACTTGTAAGACTCTTAAGTTCCAGAAGGGTACTGCTAATAGGAAATAAGAAGGTACCAAAGAATGGAGCCCTTGTATGCAGAGGGTTGTGAGCAGAGGTAATGCTTCACAACACAGTCTTTGCAAGGTATTTTCCCAGTGTTTGGCTGGCACACCAGGAATCAGATATACAGAGAAAGGACCAAGTCCCAAGTGTTTCATGTACTATTTCCAGATTTATTTCACCTTCTCTCTCTCTGCCCACCCATTCTGTGGCCTGAAACATTTTGATGCCCTGATAAACTCTGGTTCCCCAAAGCTCCCCAGAGGACTGATGTGAAATAGGAGCCACCCATTATGTGTTTATCACCATGGTCTTCAGGAGTCAAAGGGAGATGCTAAACAGGTTTCTTCCTTAGTTCCAGAACACAGTGTGATCATGACTACAATAAGCAAGCACTCCAACGTCAAGACTTTCACAGAGAAGCTGCTGCTGCTGCTGAACAGAGGAGGTGAGTGTGTGTGGCACTGTTACATGCCTGGCAGGGGGTGCACACAGGCACTTGGGGAGAAAAGCCCAATGTTCGTTATGGGATAGGATGTCAGGGGTGCAGGTAGCTGAGGAGCTGTCAGCTCAGGTTGTGCTGTGCTGCTTCCTGGGTAGTTTGTGAGGGTGACAGTCTGCATTGCTGAGGATGGAGCTGCACAAGGAATAAGGTAATGGCTAATGGCATCTATGGAGAGAGGACTGGCTGCCATTTCCATACTTCTGGGTCAGATCAGCTCCATCTCAGACCAGCTGCCATGGGCAAGCCTTTTTTTGGGAGAAAGGCTGGTCCTGGGCCACTTCTGTCCTTGGATGGGCAGAGGATTCAATGTCAAACCTCTGCCTGTGCTGGCAAACATCTGCCCTGGGGGATAGATACAGCTTTTGTCTTCTGAAACACTGCTTAGAGTGGAACTTTCCATTTCTGAACTGCCAGCAGAGGGACAGCCTTGTGTCTGCTTCAGGCATGGAGTGAAATCCAGTGTACTTGTAGAGCTGTTGCAGAGCAGATTACTGGAACGCTGGAGATCCCTGCAGGAAGAGCGGTGCCAGGTCTTTCAGCCTGTGCTGCAGGCCACTATTGTGCTTTCTAATACCTTCTGGAGCACAGGGGCTTTGCTGCCTGAGAGAATTCATTTTGTTGAGTTGCTGGAAATAGCCCATCTTGTGATGCATGCAGCTCATCTTACTCTGGCTTTAGTTCTCTTTGGGGCTGCAGATCACCGTCTCCACACAATATCAGCTTGAGGGCAGCAGGCACCTTGCTGCTCTTCTGTCTGGCCTCCTCCCAAAGCCTTTGTTTAGCTCCTTTCCTGCCAGATTCCCTGCAGAGATCACCTTACAGTGAGGAGCTGGGAGAAGAAAGAGGGGGGGGCCACAACCTAATGAAGATGTTTCTCTTTTGACCGCCTTTCTGACAACTGCTGGGGGAGCTGCCATGGCCCAGATCCCCTCTTGGAGTCTGCAGGGATGTGTTTTGCAACAGAACAGGATGTGGTGGCTCATTTAAACTTGGAAATGTTTCTTTTCTTGCTTCTGGGACAGTACTAGTCTGGTCTCTGGTGAAAGCTTGTTTTTTGTACAGGCTCTGATGGGCTTTTCAGAGGGGTTATTGGACCTCTCTTAATAAACCAGCCAGAAAATGAGTGGTGGCTGTTGAGCAAAAACAGGAGATACTGAGAGGCAGTGTGCTAATGTGCTCTCACCTGGGATGGTCAGTGAAACATAAACAATGATTAATGCTAATTATAATGAGTTTGGTCTCATCTTGGTAGCCTGCAGAGCTGCCATCCTGATTACACACTTATGTGCAAGGCACTGAGGTCTTTGGGCACAAAAGCTATCCATGGGCAGGGAGTGGCTGACCAAGGGCAGGGCAGCCTCCTCTCCAAAGGGTCTAATGAAGGGAAATGCACTGAAGATGGAGCAGAGGGGCAATGGGGAGCATGTGGCTCAGCACAGTCTTTCTGCCTCCCCCAGATGATCCAGTTTCCATCTTCAAGCATCAGCCTCAGCCACCACACTCAGTGCTGAAGTTTCTGCAGGACATCTTTGCCAGCAAGGATACAGCCAGCATCTTCTATCACACAGACATGATGGTCCTGATAGACATCCTGGTGCGGCAGATTGCTGATCTCTCCCCTGGAGACAAGGTGCTCACAGTAACCCATAGGCATTGGGGAAGGGAGCACAGTCCCAAAGCAATGATGTTTTTCCTGGCCCCTCATGGGACCTGCTGGTGCAGGCAAGAGTGGAGTTCTGGGGTGGGCACAACATTTCTGGGTGCTTAAATCAACCTTGGGAGCTGAGGAGGAAGGGGAGAATTTATCCTGCCCAGCATGCCAGCATATTTGAAGAAAGATCTTCCAGGCTTCTGGTGGTCTGCACACTTCTGACCAGGGACCTTTGGGGAGAAAGACCCTCTGTAAGTAGCAGTAGGAGGAATCTCTCATTTGGTGTTGCAAGAGGCAGGGAACGTGCACGTGTTCAAGGGCAGGGGAGGAGCAGCACGCTTGCTGTGGGAAAAGCTGAGTTTTCCATACTTAGTAGTGATACTTAAGGAAAAGCAGGTGCCTCTGGAGTTGTGCTTTGGTTGATGATGCAGCAGCAGCTGTTCCTGTGCTTATGCTGTAATGGAGGCTGGCATGTTTGTTTATCCCACTTCAAATCTTTCACTGTGCTCTGTGGTTTGTCTTCCCTCCTACTTGGCAGCTGAGGATGGAGTATCTGTCCCTGATGCATGCCATCATCCGCTCCACGCCCTATCTGCAGCACCAGCACCGCCTCGCTGACCTGCAGGGCATCCTGCAGCGCATCCTGGGTGAGGAGGAGGATGACCAGCAGTGCCAGATGGAGAAACTGATCATCTTGGAGATTTATAAGGAGTTTCCAGAAATCTCTTCTGGTACCAGCTAATGCTTCTCAGCTTGGACTGGAGTTTGAACCACTTGGATCGACTATGTCTTTTGTTGACACTTTCTCCCCATTCCCTCCCAGTTCAGCTCATACCTTATATCCCTCTGTGTGAGGCCTAAGGTTGGGACAGTGTTCACCGGCCCTTTGGAAGCGCCAGCAGCAGAGAGGGTGTGGGGTGCCCCCGGGGCCTGTGCCCAGGGCAGGCATAGCAGGGTGGGTGCTGGCACGTGGTTTGCCTGCAAGACTCAGCAGGAGCTATTTGGGCAGCTGGTGTTAGTGGGAAGGGCAGAGAGCTTGTGGGGGCTTAGCAGCCAGTATGGGGGGATGTTCAGCTGCACTGGTGTCCCAAGGTCCTGAAGAGAAAGGCCTTTGCCTTAGAGTATCACTTCTTTTCCATGTGCGTCTCTCTCCCTGCAGTGACCAAGTGGAGTCCGCTGGTGCTTGGAAGAAGCTTTTGTAACATCTGTTTTGTTTCCTGCTGCTAGTGCCAATGTGCTGCAGCCCTGCCAAGGGAAAGTAGCTGCTCGCTGTCTAATGCCTCGTCTAGTGAGCCTTTCACTCCCTCCTAGCCTTCAGCTTTGCCTCTGGGCAGCAGCCCACCTTGGGTCATGGAGGTCTTACCCAGCAGCTGCTTTTCAATCTGCTTTCTATAGTGATGTTTAAATCTCAATTTCTTGCACACTGTGGCAGCCTAGAAGTAAGAGCCACGTGGGTGACACTGCCCTTAGGAAGCCCTTGGCCAGACACAGCACTAAGACGTGTCCTGCCAGGTGAAGCTGCCACTTGCCACCTCTCTTGCAGCATTGCCTCGAGCAGAGGGGCTGCCCTTGGGCAGATGCGCTCTGTTCGTGAAGCACGTGCATTTCTTGCCTTGAGCTTCATAGTAGCTCTGCCTCACTGCCCTCCCTGTCCCCATGGCAGCACTCAGAGGCAGCGTGAGCCTGGTGTCCAGTAGCTGTTTGTGACTATGCTAACTGTGGGGAACCCTTATTTTTATTTCCTCTAGGTTTCTAGCAAATGGGATTAACCTGCTTCCAGATAGTCACACACACTAACATGGGTCTCTTTGGTATTTGTGTGCACAATGTGGTCACTCCCTGTCCCCAGGTCTTCTTTTGCAGTAGCCAGTGTAGGAGCTGTGAAACTGGAAATACTGGGCACTGTATTTACTTTAATTTTTATTTTTTTTTGTTAGCTTGAGATCACACAAGCTCTGCAGGCCTGGACTGGCTACTGAGGCAGTGATGCTTTGAGAACAGAGGGGGTTGGCCTGGCAGCCAAAGGGGGAAAGGAAGTCAGCCTGGAAATGCCCAAGCTTAATAACCATCCTAGCAGAGAAACCTATTTTTGCCCTGTAAAAATGTATGAATGTCAAAAGGGATCCTGTATTTTCTTAAACTAAGTGTAACCTGCAGAAGAATAAAAATGTCTTAAACTGGACTTCTGTGAGTGTAGCCCTGCCTGCCCAATCCTGTCATGGGGACACCAAAGCATCAGGGGTGGTAGGGTGCATGCTGCCCACAGAGGCAAAGCAGTAGGTGCTGATCTCCAAATGGGGGTAATGCAGTCAATTTCCCTCATTCAGCTTCTTGCCTTGTCTTTTTCTACTACGTTGCTAGCTGACAAGGAAGGCTTGGAGGACAGCAGCCCTTGCAAGGGGCACAGCTGTCATCGCTGGGGCCTGCCCAGCATTGCTGCCCCACGTGAAGGGTTTGGCAGAGCTGGACTCACAGTTCACTTCCCATAAGGTACAAGCAGCCTCGGCTGGCTCACAGCAGAGCTGCCAAGGCAGCGAGCCTGGGCAAGGAAGGGTTTAATGAAAGTCTGTACTGAGTGTAATGAATTGTGCTTTGGCTGTGGATGTGTGCTCCCAAACCTCAGCCTGTGCCTGCAGCTCTGGGGTGCCTGGGATGGCAGGGGTTCTGCAGTGCGAGGACAGCAGGCACTGAGCAGAGCACTAGTAGCAGGAAGAGCTACTTGGCAGCAGGAAGCTGGTCTCTGCTTGTGGCTCTGTGACAAGGGAACCAGCCAGGCCACTGTCAGGGCAGCGGTGTAAATGCCAGGTGCAAGCTGTGCCACTCCAAACACAGGGATGGCATCAAACAGAGCTACCTGCAGAATCGGGGCCAGGATTGTCCCAGCTCCTGCCTCTTTGGCCTGTGTCTCAAAGTCCCTAGGTGTGTGGCCTTGTAGTGTGCAATTTGTACACCTGGGGACAATCGTGACAAGTAAGGACTGCCCGGTGCTCATTGGTGTGTCCCCCATGGTGGCTCTCCTGTGCCCCACTGCTCTGTGCAGCACATGATTGCATGTGCCCCTGAGCCAACCTCGGCTTGCTTCCAAGTGCTGCTGGGGCTTGTTGGCCCGTGACCTGCTGCTGTGGTGAGATGTTCATCTGGTACTTGCCCTCAGTGACACAGCACAGGCTTTGCTGTGCCAGGCAAACCCAGCAGTGGCAGGACCTGTGGCTCTGCTTGCCAGGAGCCCAGACTGCAGAGCTTGTGGCTCCCATTGGCATTCCTGAGCCATTGCTGTCCATGGGGTTGCTCACCCTATCCCAGCTGCACAGTAGCATAGCACCTTCTGTCCCACCACCCTGCTGCCACCACAGCCAGGGGCTGGGAGAGCTGAGGGGGAAGCTGGCTGTGAGGTCCAGGGGGAGAAATACACCTGCTGGCCAGGAAAGGCTTTCCCCACATCCCAGGGAATCAAACTGCAGCATGTAAACTCATTGTCCCCAGCCTGCTCAGCAGGTCCTGCTCTTCATGTAGGTGAGACCCTCAAGATTGTTTGCTGTACTAAGACACAATTAGAGCAGTGTCTCCTCGTACTGCTGTTTTATTGTGGTGCAACAGTGAGGGGTATTGGGGGGCTGGCATTGTGGGAGTGATACATTGCCTGTGACCTGCGCTTCTGCTTTATTGTCTGGAATGATTCAATTACAACTATTTTGTGGCAGTAATACCCTGATAATTTTCTCCTCCTCCCCTGAGCTGTCAAGCTGGGTAATTAGAACAAATAAACTTGAAAGCCTTCATTACTTTTAAAAAGTATTGCCTCTCTCCTGATTTGGTTTCCTGATGGCACATCCCCAGTGTGAGGAGGTGTGATGTATGATCCAGCCAGTGTTTTCCTGTTGCATCTGAGTGATGTTTAATGAGGTTTCATGGGTGAGCTGTGTGCAGGGCCAGGGCTGCTCTGGCATTATCCTAACGGCACTGGGAGGGCTTAAGTGGATGCTGAAGGGTTTGTAGGGGAGAACGTAAATCTCCCAAGAGCACAGTATGGCCACAGCCCTGTCAGTGCTGGTGCTGGACCACCCAAAGCAGAGGTGTTAGGTGGTGGTTGAGGAGTTACTCACAGCAGGTGACCCATCCTATGGAGTTCATAAAGTAAAGTTGGCTTCTCCAGGGGCTTAGACATCCACACTCACTGGGTGTCAGCCCTGAGCACTGTGTCAGCTCCAGGGGAACTTCTCTCTGCCGCATGCTCGGCTGCACTGGCCGCCACTTTAGGGCCTGCCTGGTATTTCCTGTCATGGTCCTACAACACGTGCTCAGCGCAAGCAACAGGGCAAGGACAAGCCCTGCCTGCTCTGCCCACCCTGTGGCTTCCCCGGTGGTGGCCAGGCCTTGGCTTCTGCAGGGGTGATGATGGGAGGAGGGAGTCACCAGCCCTGCATGAAGTGAACCAGTGGTTTGGGGACATACTGGTTGTGCTGCAGACCCCATGTTGTATTTTCTTGGTTTCCACCCTAGGAATGAGAACCTGCTTGCTGTCAAACCCCTGATCAGTGGGCAGCATGCGCTCTTCCCACCCCCTCGTTTACACTAACAATAATTGCCAGGGGGACCATCTGTCACCGTTGGTGGAACCAAAGCTGGGTGAGAGCTGGTAGTGGCCATGGCTAATGGGGGAGTACTGGAACACGGAGCAGAGAAGCAAAGCACTGGTGATAGCAGGATTCAGTGCTGTGGCAGCAGCATGTGGGATGCCATGGCCCCAGCCATAGCTGGAACAGAGGACACCACCAGGACAGTGGCAGCTGGACTGCCTTGAGGTCCTGAGACCTGTGTCATGGGGCCAACACATCTCCTGTGACCCCTCTTTGCTGTGCAGATGCACATGCTGTGCTGTCCAAAGCAGTGTGTAGCTCCCAGGCAGCCACTCAGATTTCTGCAAGGGGACAGTGAGACCCTGCACAGCCCTGTGTTGTTTCCTGGGGGGTGGGAATGTGTTGGAGAGCGACTGTGGCTCCTGCAGTGTTGGGAGTGCCAGCTGAGCAGTGCAATGCCGCCTCCAGCGTGAAGCCATCCCACTGGTAATTTGTGTTTGTTTTAGAAGCTATGCAGGGCTATACAAGGGCTGCCAGCGATATCTAGCCTGGCTGAGGTGTGGATATGGGGGCCCTCCTGCTCTTCAGCCTACAACACCCTGAACAACAGTCCATCCAACACAGCAGGCTCTTGCAGCCCCTTTTGAGCTGGGATGTGCATGGAGGCACAGGATGTCATCCCATGTATGCCCTGCCCTTTCCTACCCCATCCTAAACTCCCCCCATCTCCCAGATTTGCTCTGTTTTCCTCCCTGACACAGTTCTTTCTTCCCTAGCATTTGCTCCAGTGTGCCCTCTCCTTCATCAGGACATGGCCAAGGATGTCCCTCTACCATGGCATGCAAAACACTAATGAGGACCTAAACCCTGTTATTCCTAAGCCTGTTATGAGCTCCAGTGGATTAGGACATTAGTTGATTGAATCAAACCAACAAATAAATTATGAGGCTGATACATTAATGAATCACCATAATGCAAGGGGCTCAAACTGAATTTTCCTTGAAAAAAAGTAGGGTTGAGGGGTGGGGTTTTTTGTTGTTTTTTGTTTTGTTTTTTTTTAAATCAGGGGCACAGGAAGGAATATCTGCAACTTTCCCTCTGGTGATGATGCCACACCTTGTGGAGTCTGTGTCCAGGAAGCAGAGTGGGATAGCTAAATTTGTGCCACACACTTGGGTCTGGGTGGGGAGCCGGGTGGCAGGGGCCGTGACACCACTTGCACCGCCTGCAAGAGCGGGACACAGGGAAGCCCATCGTCATTTACACAGTAAAATGCTCAAGGTGCTGCTGCTTCCAGATGGCCGTGGGGGAGTGGAAGGGGCCCGCGGGGCTGCCAAGGGATGGCAGTGCCTCCTGCCTAAGCAAGGCACTTTCCTGCCTTGCCCTTTGTGTCGGCGGCAGGGTGGCTGTCTCGGGCTCTCCTCGGGCAGGGGGCACAGCCTGGCCCAGGGGACGCCGGCAGTGGCACGGGACTGCTGTGGCGCCTGGAGCACCGGCAGCGCCGCAGCAGCGGCTCGGTGTGTGCCCGCTATCCGCGGGCTCAGCGCTGCCGGCCAGGTCTTTGCGAGGAGCTGCACCGGCCGGCCCGGCGTGAGGGGCTCCCGGAGCCTCCCTGCCGAAAGCGCG